GGCTTTGTGTTAACTGTGGAGGGAAAACAAGATCTTTCCAAAGCTACCACTTGGTTCTTGGATGAAGTCTCCATAATAAATGATAAACTAATAAGAGAAAAGCATTGTGGTTTGAATGAAAACTGTCCCCAAGCAGCTCTTCTATTTGAACATGTAGTCTTCAGTTTAGGACATTGTTTGAGGAGACTATGGAACCTTTAGGAGGTAGAGCCTTGCTGGAAGAAGTCTGCCACTGGGGGTGGGCTTTGAGACTGTTTAGCCTCAGCTCACTTCCTGTTTGTTCCCCTTGCTCCAGTGTTTCCTGCATGTGGAGGAACTGTGGTCTGTCAGCTTCCTGTCCCTTCCACCAAGCTTTCCCTACTTTTCACTACGCCTCCCCATCATGGCGGACTCCATCGCTCTGCAACGGTAAGCTAAAATAAACCCTTTCTTCTTTAAGTTGCCTTTTGTATTTTATCACAACAATAGAAAGTGGCTGGTTCAGTCATGCAGTTTTATGAAATGGAGGAACCTTGGCTCGAAAATCAGGCCCTAAAAATGAGTAAGCTTGAGTGTTTTCATGCTGTGTTTGTTAGATGTTCTAGCCTTGGATAAGAATAACCGGACATTAGAGTATAAGGAAAAACTGAGGGAATTTTGCCAGGCCAGAAATGCTCAGATTTCTTCTGTGCCACGTGTTCAGATATTAAGTATGCTCATCTGAGGACAGAGTGGGTATCTCTGGGTCGAAAATTTACTCATTTACTAGAGTGAGGTGGTTGAAAAGGTTAACAATAACCTTCTGCTGTTTCTGCTATATTCTTGAATTCTAAGAAGCCATCCATGCATGCACGAGTATTTGTGTGAGTGTATACACAAGTGTACGTATGCAAGTGTGTGCAGGTGCACATATATATATATGTGTGTGTGTGTGTGTGTGTGTCAGATTTCGCTCTTGACACTTCAAAGACTCTCCACTTTCCACCTTGTCCTGAAGCTCACCAATTAGACTAGGCTGGCTAATCAGCCAGCCTGGGAGCATCCACCTGGTATCACCTGTCCAGGACCAGGATGGCAAGCACATGCCACCCCATGTGCTTGTGTGTGTAGTTTTTGTGCATGGGTGCCATCAATACATATTCTGGAATGCAGACACCAGACAAGGACACTGGTGTTTTGCTCTAACACTCTTACAAGGTCTTCCACAAAATCTGGAGACAGGTTTGTGGCCATCAAGTCAACCATCCTCCTGTCTCTGCCCTCTCCCTGTGTAACCCTGGAGTTACAATGCATAGTGACCACACCCATCTTTTTATATGGGTTCTGGAGATTTGAACCTATGTCTTCTTACTTGTGCAGCAAACATTCGTTTCCATTGAGCCAACTCCCTAGCCCTACAGCTGGATTGTTACATAGGTTCTGGGGATTTGATTCAGGGCCTCATGTTGTTGGCAAGGCAAGGATTTTACCTTCTGAGATACCAGCCCAGCCTCCATAGCAAGATGTCTTGAAGCTCATTATTGAGTGTGAGGAGAGGGCTATTCATCAAAATTTATAGGTTTTACTGTATTTTTTAAAATTTCAATTGAAAAATAGGAAGATAATCAAGATACCTCCACCACAGGATGACTATAAAGACTGAGTGTTGAAGGTGATTAAATTAAATGTTCCCCCAAGTAGTGGTTTCCCAAGTGATACAAAATTCCATGTTGCTCACAGTGTAAGTCAATTATCTATAGTTGTTTACCTGCTTTTCTTGGTCTTTGCTGAAGCCTCTAAGTCATGTTTTCTTAACAAATTGAGTTAACTGGTGAGGAAGGAGGAGATGAGGAAATGGGATTTTGCCTCTCTGAATGATATAAGTATGGCTACCGTTTCTGTTGGTTGTGTTTACTCAAATATTTTACATTCGCTCCCTGCCTTCTCCCCCAAAATAAACTCATACAGTTCATTTTCTATGCAGCAATTGCCTTCATAGCATCTCCTGTGCAGACTGAGTCACGAAGTCAGACCAGTACAAGTGTTTCCTTCCCTCCTTCCTCTTGCTGCATAGATCAGGGCTTCTGAGTGGCATAAAGATTAACACTTGCATATTTTCCTTTAGTGGGAAGTCCATTTTTCTCTCTCTCTCCATACATATATACATACGTGCATGAGCACACATACACACGCGCACACACACATATATTCCAGGGCCAGGTGGAAATTGTCATAAGCTTGTTGTTGAACATTCAGGGCCTTCTTCACCCCCTGTGTTTTCATTTAGTTCTCAGTTCATGTTTTTAATAACTGGAATATAATTTTCTAACTACATAAATGAACATATTGGCAGAAGAGAAGTCAGGGACAGGACTTTTGTACAACTCAAAACAATGGCTTTCAGAAAGTATAAAATCTTGACTAACAGGTTGCTGCCGGGAGCATTGTGCCCATATATGAGGTAGTAAGGAAATAACACTAAAAATATTAAAAATAGATAAGGAAAAATGTTAAATTACTTTTTCTAGAAACATCATCAGAGAACCAGCCAACAGTGGCATAGCTGAAAGGTAATAAATTAGCTAGAAGGTGAACAGAGAATATACTTTGCTGGGATCCTGAGCCCAAAATAGCTTTGTAGTGGACACGTTTTTTTTTTTTTTTTTTTTTTGGACAGTGTCTACTCAAGGTCTCACGTCTCTGTAATATTCTCTCTCTCTCTCTTTCTTCTTTCCTCCCCCCTCTCTACCTCTCCCTCCCTCCCTTTTTTCTTTCCCAACTTAGTCCCAATTCTTTTAACGAATGTCGTATATTCTCAAAGCTACTGAAATTTCCTTTCACAATTAAACCAGAAGAGCATATTGATGATTCACTCCTTAGGATTAATAAAGAATGTACCAGCTGCTCATACAAGGGCTTCTATTCTTGGATGGTCCTGTCGTCAGCCAGAGGCTGCCAGCAACAACTCGCATGGCATTCTGTCATCATCTTTAACACAAGGAAAAGGATATCATTTTGAAAGTCAATATTTGCTAGGGAAGAACAAGCCAGGCAGTGAATATTGGCAATCTGTGACATAATACCGAAAGCATCCAATTCTGCAGAATTGCTTCTCGGAGAACGATGAGTATTTTGGCTAATTCACACCAACAGCTGCATATAGCTGATGCTAACAATTCTTTCTCTTTATTAGTCTCATCTTATTAGTTCTTTGAGAATTGTAAACAGTGTATTTTTCTCATATACACTTCCTCCCGCTACTCCTCCCAGATCCATCCCCACTTCCCTACCCACCCTGAACCTGTACATACTATGTTCTGAGTATGTGGCTTGCATGTATATGGTTTCAGGAATGACCACTTTGTACTGAATAACCAATTATCAGGCTCCTCCCTGGGAAAGACTCATTTTCATTCTTTCATTCATCCTTGTGCCTCTTATTCACGTTTTAGGGTGGTATCCTGCCACACTTCCCCTTCCACATTCGTGTGTTTAGCAGTGCTGTCCTTGTCCAGGTCTTCTTTAGGGCAGCCATATTGTTGAGGGATCATGAGTGTAGCATTCCTGTCAATTCTAGGAGATGTAATCTGACATCAGGTTTCCTGGTCCTCTGGCTTTTACAATCTTCCCACCACCTCTCCTTTGATGTGCCCCGAGCAGTAGGGGCAGGATTTGTATTGCAGATGTGTATGTTGGGCCTCTCTGCATTATGACCAGTTTGGGTTTTCTGTAATGGTCAGTGTTTGCTGCAAAGAGAAGCTTTACCAATGTGGGATCAGAGCTACACTAACCAATCTATTGATATAAGGATATTTTAGAATGCGCTTAAGAATTATGCTGGCCTCATAAAGTGGCAATAATAGGTTCTCTAGCAACAAGTAGTTGGTTAGGTTTCAGATACCAGGAACAATTTCCCTCCTGTTGAGTGAGGGCCTTACGTCCCTTATTGCTTCCAAGATACGAATGCTGCTACAGTCCCTTTGCATCTTACCATCTGAGCTAGTGGTTAGGAAAGGTCTAGTAACTCCCAGAATGACATCAACTCTTTCTGTTGCACTGGCTTGCCCTCAGGGGCCTGACATTGTCCCTACTGCTGAAGACACTGTGGACACAGGACTCAGTGCATTCCATCTGGGTCTAATCTGAAAACCTGTTCCCAGCAGGCTAGATTTCCTAGGACCAGAAGGTGAAATACCAGAGCGCTCGGTATTTCTACCCAGCTGGGACACCAACAAGCACAGGAATCTCTCTGAGAACTGAACAGAGGGATTGACAGTAGCGTGCCCGAGCTTTTGAAGGCACGTCCTGCAACTTGTGTATCTACCTTTCCCTCTCTTTCCAGAAAGATCTCTTCTAAAAGCAGGGAGCTGCAGAAGGAATGGCAATGCAGCATTGTGTCTTCCGTTCTTCTCAGGTGGAAGTCCTCAGCTTTTTATTCCTAGTGCCAAATATTCTCTCCCTAATTTTTCTTCTCGATTTGCAAAAAAAGTATAGGAAACAGCATAGCACAACTTCTAGAATTGTGAATAATACAGTATTTCTTGTGTTTTCCAAATCTGAAAAAACATAATTGTTTTAGGAAAATTAATATACCAATATTTATTAAAAGGAATACAGAGAACTAAAATGAACCAATAATTGTGAAAACAGAAAAATAAAACATATCCAAACTATTTCTTACAGACTTAAAGAAGAAAGCTTCAAAGTTTTGGCAGGCATATAAATATTTTAATACTTATATTAATATATTTATGTATTATACATTTATTATGTATACATAAACATAAAAATTGAGGTCACATCTTGAATTCAACCAATTATAAGTGTAGACAAACATAAGTCGAGAACATAGATGCTACTTGTCAAAGCAAACAGCATTGTCAAAGTTGAAAACATTTAAAAATTCTCATAGGATGAACAAGTTTGGAAAAAATATATATATTTTATTCCCTCAAGTATATCCTGTGATAAATACATATACACACATATATATATATATATCTTGTACATATTTATAATTACATATATATAATTATTTCATCTCCCATTCCATCCAATTCCACTCCCTTTTTCTCTCTCTTTACAAAATAAACAGGCCACCAAAAGAAAAACAAACAAACCAGAGTAAGAAATGAGATAAAGAGAACAGAAAAAGCCTAGGAAACACAAAAGCACATATGCACAGAAGCATACACACATACACACATGGCACACGCATACACACAAACACCATAAAACACAAAATAAGAAACCGTAAAATGCCCACAGCAACATGAGACAAATGTCTAGGAATTTATTTTATGTTGGTCATCTACTGCTACGTATAGACCCACCTACGTGTGGTTAATATACCTCCAGTAAAGCAGACTAATTTTTCATATGCAAGCAAATATCAATTGCAGATAGCTTTATCATTAGGAATGGGAGCTTGTGTCTATTTCCCCCTTTTGTCAACATTGGGGCACATCAGGCTTGAACCTGTACAGGCCCATCCACGCTGACACACATGTGTGACAGTCTTCTGGCATCTGGAAGGCCTTGTGTCCTTGGCATCATCCATTCTCTCTCCCTCTGGCTCCTACAATTTTTCCACTTCTTTTTACAACGTTCCCTGGGCCTTGCATGTGTGTGGGGGGGTGGAGTTGGAAGGCTGGGGACTTGATGAAGACAACCCAAGTAGGACTGAGTTTTCAAATCTTGTATTTGACTCCACAAAATGTATTATTATAGTTGATTTTCATGGACCATGAAGTTGTTTGATGGACAAGATGATAGGAACTGGAAGGTTATGGAACACAATTGCAGTCATATGGTGAAGAACTAGCAACTAGTTGCCAATGGATTCTTCAGAAAAACTAATCCAGAAGTCTGAAAACTTAACATAAGCATAGTTTGGCATCCAAACCTTGTAGTCAGCAAACTTTGGATCCATGATTTGCTGAGTCTTTGCTTTTGGAAGCTTTCGAGGATGAGTTTGTCATTGTTGGCTAGGGGGAGGCCCTGTTGTCTATTGTGCTGTTGTTGTTTTTGTGCTGTTGTGTAACTTTTAACAAGAGGTTTCCTTCACAATATTGCTCTGAAAATGAACAGTGAAGTATCTTTCAACTGCCTGAGGAGAACAACATAGATACAGTTACTTAGCTTCGTAAAACTGTAGGCAAGTATTTTGTCTTTTCCTAATCTCCTGAAGATTGTTTAGCCTTGTCTTGATATTGAATGGTAGGAGGTGAAGTTACAGGGCTGTTCAGTACATTTGATAGGCATACATGCTCTGAGATACTATGAGATACTAAGGTGGAAAGAGAATATAGCAGATCTCTAAACATTAATTTCTCATAATTCTTCCAAGTGGCACAACATATACTTCATGTTCACTAATATGTCTTTTGGGAAACCGTAAGAATATTAAGTCAAAAAAACATAAAAGGAAATCAAAAATAGTAGAAACATTATTTCTAAACTGTTAATACAAAACAATGAAGTATATAGTTTAGTGGATACTAACTATATTAAGGAAAACAAGGGGGAAATATTTTTATTTGGATATTGTAACTTCCTCCAACACAATGCTAAAGAGCTCACAAAACCCCAGGAAAGTTGGTAAAGGAATGGAAGAGAGAATCACAGCCACAGGGCACTCTGCCATAAAGGGCTGCAAAGTAAATTTAAGAACTGAAACTTTCTGATTCTCGGACTTGCCAATTTTGTAAAAGAATGTGAAAATATAAACACTTTTCACTTGGTAAGGACTCTTGCCAAAATAATTTTATAAATGATTCCCTGGTTTTCTAATGCCCATTTAGGGGACTCTGTCATGTCATGGACTTACCTTGGCCACACGTTAAACACTCTCCACGTTAGTAATCATTGCTCTTTTCAGTTAAAATAAGCACTTCATTGGGGACTTTGGTTTTATCGGTATCACTAGCAATATTTTGTTTATTGCACTTTTCCACAAATACACTGCAGTGATCTAGGGTAGGTGGAGAACACAGTTAAGCATATTAAGGAGGGTGAAGAACACAACTACTGCATATTCTATGTATGAGCAAGGGCTGAGAACACGTCTACTTCACATTAGAGAGGACGGGGACACAGCCACTGCATATTATGTGTATTAGGGAGGATGTGTATTAGGGAACACACCTACTGAGGAGGAGGAGGAAAAGAACACAGCGAATGCACATTGGGAATTTGGAGAACACAGCTAAGGTAAGAAGCCAGCTTGCTCTTTTCCTGTATGCCAGGCATATAGGCGGGTGCAGTTTAAGTCCATACTATCAAAAGATTACTTATTGCTCCGTGAAATGAACCTTTGAGATTGTAGTCAAACATCTTAAGTGCTACACCCAGTTCTGTGGTACTGAATTCCGGAAGCATTAGAGTCCCATCAACAACAAATGCAGGGACCTTTAGTGCCACCAGAAAGATTTCATCATTTGCAAAAATAGAAAAACCCTAAAATATTTCACTTCAGGTCACTTAAGCTTAATTCATCACAAAACATCACATAACACGTATCTGTTTGCACCCGAACAAAATGCATGTAATGTTGAAAATTGCAAGCCACCCACCTGTAGTCTAATAGTGCAAGGTAAAATGCATTGGGTGATGAATAATGGATGGGAATCTTCAAAATAGTATGTGAGGGCAGATTGTAGATCATCTCGTCTTCAATAATTCATCTGCATACTGCCTTACATCACACAGGCTGTGAGTCCTACTTAACACAAGGGAAGCACAGATATCAAGAGGTTAACTAGCCTCTTCAGGGCCACATGGGACATTATTTGTAGACACCAAGCCAAAGGTCAAGGATTGCATCAAACCATTTTTCCTGCCCCTTTTCCTCTGATTAGAAACATTTGTTTTAGCTGGTCAAATATTGGACTGTACGATACTGACCTTAAAGCAGAGAAGTATGCAGATACACACACACACACACATATGCACACACACACACATGCACACACACATATGCACACACACATATGCACACACACATATGCACACACACATATGCACACACACATATGCACACACACACGCGCACACTCACACACACATATGCACACACACGCACACTCACAAGCACAAACACAAGTATGCCAGGAAATCACTTAGAGCCAGTTTCAGTGATTTGGAGCTGTAATTATGATATTTGGCGAGAGAATAATCCTTATCCTTAGAAAACTTGACCAAGATCCAAAATATTGAAATGGTTTTCAAGCTCCATCATGTTGAAGTCCTGACTCCTGATGATATATATATATTTTTTAACAGTTACCATATTTTATCCTGAAGCAACTATTCCACAAGCCATACTGTAAGAGACATGGCAGGGCAATATGGAGATTTGGGGGATCAAGTAGATCGATATTAAATGAATTAATATAGTACCGTGTCCAGTGAATATATACAATAGAAATTAGAAAGTAACAAAAATTAACTAAATTAAAAAGACATAAGAAGATAAAGGGACAAAAATATATATATAAAAAAAAAAGGTTGTATTCCGTCTTAGCTGGGCATTGTGATGGATCCCTACAGTTGCGTTCAGCGATTGGAGGCATTCCCCAGCATTCAGGTTGAGACCAACTTAGTCTTCACAGTGCCACAATACACATTCTGCTGAAGGGGTTGTTCCATCCTTGACTAGATTCCATCCTTGACTAGATTCCTTTGGCAACAGCATGAATTGGACATCATCACTAAGTGGTTGAAGGGGTGATTCCTGAGAGAGGAGCGTGAAGCCCATGGGTGGTAACTATCACCTTCCACTGAGAGAACTTCATTTTTAAGGCCACTTTTGGCTTCTGAGTGGGCCGTGCCTTGGAGCTGCCGTGCTCATTGGTAAGAAAATAAATACTCCTTCTGCAGCCATTGCTGAGGCTGTTCAAAGGGAGTCTATGTTCTCTGCTCTCAGCCTGTCCTACGTGGCTTAAGAGAACTTAGGGCAGAAGGAGTTCTTGGTTTAGAGCAGCTTCCAGGTGAGCAGGTGTGTTTCACGTTTGAAGCTATGTATGAGTTGGAATGGCATTCAGAGTCACAAAGACCTAGTGGCTCAGAGGGAACACAGGTTGCAGTTCACCCTGTATGTGCCTCAGAGACACTCATGTCCCATATTGAGTAGAATGTGTCCCATTTGGGAGTCTTCAAAGGCATACCCAGATAAAAGTCATTTAGAAAATGACAGTAGACAGTTGACTGTTACCAAGCTAGCTTTCTTTACCATCATAGTATCCCTTCATGATGTCAAATACTGCTTCATTATCTTCCAAATTCTTTTTCATGTCACCAGTTGTTCAAGCATGTGTTCTTTAATTTGCATACATTTGTTAATATTCCAGTTTTCTTTCTTCTACTGATTTCTAGTTTAATTATATTATGGTCAGAGAAATTGGTATGGTTTTACTTTTCTTAAGGTTGTGAAGGCTTGTTTTGTGGGATTTGGAGAGAGGGCTCATCGCTTAAGAACACTAAGCTGTTTTTCCAAAGGTCCCAGATTTGGTTCCAGCATCCACATTGTAGCTCACAAATGTCTGTAACTCCAGTTCCAGGAAATCTGATGCCTTCTTCTGGCCCCTGTAGGCATCAGACATACATGTGGTATACAGGCTTACATGAAGGCAAAATGCTCATAAATAAAACCAACAAAATGCAAGCTTCATTGTGATCTAAAATGTGATCCTTCTTGGAGACCATCACGTTGTGCTTGAGGAGAATGTATATTGTGCTCAGATGGGTAGGGGCTCTGTGTACAAATTTGGGGCTAATTCGACCATATGGTAATGTGCATGTGTCTCTGCTGGATTATCTGACATAAACATATAACTGAATGTGCTGTTTTCATCGTTAAATAAATTATCTTCACCCTTTCAGCCATTGTGAATCTTTCAATGTGCTTTGGGTCTTCTGCAGACAACATATAATTAAATCTTGTTTGCTTTGTTTTATTTTCCATTTACTCAGTCACCCCATGTCTTTGGGAAGTTTAATCATTTACACTTAAAATAATTACTGACAGGGAAGTATTCACTATTATCATTTTGTTAATTTTTTAAGTTAGTTGTGTAGTCAGACTTTCTTTTGGGGTGCCAGCTCACAATGACATGGAGACTTATTATTAATTACAAAAACCTGACTTCAGTTTAGCTTCCTAACTAGTTCTAATAACTTAAATTAACCTATTTCTATTAATATATATCCTGTATGTACTGACATCCATCCTGCTTTTGTGTGTGTGTGTCTTCTAGCATCTTTCTCATGTTCCTCAACTCTTTCTCCTACTTCCTCTCTCTGCCCAGAAGTCCCACCTATACCTCCTGCCTACCTATTGGCCATTCAACCTTTTATTACACCAATCACAATACACCTTCACACAGTGTACAAATATCCTACAACAGAGTTGCATCTTCTAGTGTCCTTTTTTGATTTCTTTCTTTGGCATTTTAAAGATTTCATTGTGTATGTGTTTTCACTTCCTGATTAGGTTTATTTTAAGCTATTTTCTTTGAGCTTATTTTTCTCACTTCACTACTGGGACACTCCTGGTTCTGTAGGGTGTGTGTGTGTGTGTGTGTATGCTAAGTATGTTCATTTGTTCTGGTGGAGTCTATAGGGTTTCTGTGTGCAGGATCACATCATTGGAACTACAGATAATTTGACTTCTTACTTTCCTACTTGAATCTGTTTTATTTAATTATTCCTGTCTATCCCAAACTACAGTGCTCTACCAGACAAGGAAGAAAGAGAAGATACCCTATCTCATTGTTCATTTTGGTATAAATGCTTTCAGTTCTTCTCCACTTAGTGTATGCTATGGGTTTGTTATATATGATCTTTATCATATTGAGGTGTATTCCCATCTATTTCTGATTTCTTTGGAACTTTTATCATAAAGGATGTTAGGCTTTGTGCATTTATTTGAGATAATCCTGTGGTTTCTGATCTTGAGTCTATTGATGTGACGTATTACACTAATGAGTTCAGAGTTGCTGAAGCAGCCCTGTATTCCTAAAATGAAGCTTACTTGGCCATGACTGATGGTGATTTTAGTCTGCAGTTGACTTTCCGAAAATTATTGAGAATTATTTGCATACATGTTACCAGGGAGGTTGGCCTATTGCTTCCTTTTGTGTGTGTACCTGCTTTTTTTTTTGTATTTGAGTAATACTGGCTGCATTAAAATAAGATTGGAAGAACCATTCCGTTTATGTTTTATGCATTGATTTGAGGGGTATTAGTGTGGGTGCTTTAAAAGTCTAGTGTAATTCTGTGGTGAATCCACACAGGCCTGGCTTTATTTTAATTGAGAAACTTTGTCTTACTACTTGTTGATGTTGATCACTGCTAAGCAGTTCAATATGTATATTTAACTTATTTAAATCTTATTACTTCAATTTTGGTAGATTATATGTGCCTGTATTTTCAGTTTTACTGGAATAGAGGTTTTCAAAGTATTTTCTAATGATATTATATACTTCTTTGGTGTTTGCCACAATGTTTCCCTTTTCACCTCTGCTTTTATTAATTTCCTTCTTCTCATTCTTTCTCTTGGCTAATTTGGCTAAAAGTTTGTTAACTTTATTTATGTTTACAAAAAACCAGCTTTCTTACCTTCACTCTTTGTGATTTTATTTGCATTTCATTAATTTCTTCTCTGATCTTTTTTTCCCCTCTGCTGACTGAATTTGGATTATGACACACAATTCTGACAATTAGGAATCTGGGAGCAGTTTATTTGGATGGTTCTAGCTCAAGGGTTTCCATGTTGCTGTTAATAAACAGACTGTGGTTGTGTTATCTGAAGCTTTACCTGAGACTCACTGGAGGAGCCTGTTCCGTTCTAGCTTCTCACAGAGATACTCACTGGAGACCCAGAATCTTTATTATAGCATCACCATAAGATGAAATGTTATTAAAACCTGGCTATATCAGCTCCCAGTCCATCTAAAAGAATAGAGAGCAAGATGAAAGCCCTTTTGCCTTTTATGGCCTGTCACTAATGCCTGCTCTTTCCAGGCTGAAGTTTCACAGTCCCCTTTCAAGGGGCGAGGCTTTAAATTCTAGCTCTTGTAAAAAGGAATATAAAATAATTTATTGACTTACCTTAAAACAATTACATATTTTGATTATGCTTTATACAGTCTTATATAACTGTTATGCATAACATTTTGTCAGTGCATAAAACTTCTACTTAGTAGTTGATAGATGGAGAAATATATAAATCAGAACATATATGACCTAATTACAAACTGGAAAATATATATGAGAATGCCAATTGAGGCTTTCTACTTCATATTGTATTATTGGTATGCATAGTTGAATATGTATTTCTAATTTGCATCTGTTACTTAATAAAAATGAAATTAAAATATATCTCTTATTTTTATGCAAGCTCTCCCTATGCTACTAGTCTATAGATTGTCATTAAGAGATAAATATGATTATTCAAAGGTCCTCTTGGTTTGGCATTCTTTGGAAAGGAAAAGAACTTGAGGCAACTGGAAGACATTTGGAACATTGTTGTCCAGTCCCTGAGCATGCCTTTGGCTTTCTAGCTCCATGTCTAACTACTGAGTTTTGCTTAAAAGTATCAATTCCTCTTTTTTTCTAAAATGATTTTTTGCTAAAAGTCTAACTTATTCATTTGTAAATCTCTAAGTTATGATGTAGTAAAATTTCAACTACAATTTGCTTTTATATATTTTTGCAAATGAGACAAAAGAAAACTCATCAAGCAATTTTAAACGTCTTTCAAACTTCTTTCAATGGAA